GATTTGGGATAAGATATAACAAGGGTTTGAAACAATCCGGCAAAAACGATCGAAGATCGTGAAAATAATCAAAACGCTATTTCAAGTCTTCTGATTAAGGACAAGCCATTAATAAGGATAATTCGATCCTTCAGGACTTTAACGAACTACCAGGGGAATAGTTGTGAATACGTTATGCGATAATCACATTACGTTCCTATTTGCCAAGGATGACTCGCGGTACATTGCCATTGTTTTATTTATTAGTCTCTGAATTAAATGATCATTTAATGATCTCGGAGCGACCGCCGCGATTTATTGCCGATTTGAGAATGATCGATATACGATCGATGAGTTTATTTATTGTCGTGCTGATCTCTCAATCGGGCGATTGTATCTGTGAAGCTTTGGAATCTTCTTAAGGGTCGCTCGACACTCCTGACTCAAAGGGGAGCTATTTTTGGGGTATTGGCGCTCACCTTATCTCTAACTCATGTAGATGAGTGAACTAACCACTCATATGAGTGGGTCTCCTCGAGGTGTGTAGCCCTTCTCATTGGGCCATGCGTACCTTTAATCACTCCACAGAATGCGCTACATCAGACCCCCTCGATCTAAAAGATCGAGCACGCCACATGATTCCCTTATTACCTCGGGTCTTTGTCATAGTGAAGCACGTAGTGCTGAATATAAACGCCTTACTTTGGTTAGTCTCGCCTAGAGGGAGCGGGCGTTCTTAAGAACGCCCCCCCGTTCTACTTTGATTTTGGCATAAACATTAATGCACATGTCGATCTTAAGATCGAGATAAGATCTTTAGTTTCGTAGAATTGGCCACGGACCTTAGGCCTTACGGTAAAGGATTATGCAGCGGATTGTCTCACGTTTTAAGAATAGACTCTGATCTAACTCATCTATATGAGTGAAGGCGAATACGAGTCAGACCTCTATATGGCGTAACCACCCAGCATCAAAAAGGAAAACAGTATGAGGGGGCAAAGGCTTTTAAAGTAATGACAGCTGATAAAGCCGTCAGTGACATATAATTGTCAATGAATAGAATTTCAGGCGGCCCTTATTGGCACAATAACATATATATAGAAGACTAAAGCCCTAATCATAAGCCATTAAAAAAAGCCCCAGCCATAACCGGCCAACATCCTAAGGATGAGAGACAATCCCTCTGTGCTGTGAATATATTGGATTTTCTCCAAAAAGGGAGATGCTGATAAAGGCTCGGCCTATAATTATAAGCCACTTACATAAGTAAGTTAATTAGACGACCTCCTCTTAGGCAACTTGAAGTAGGTGTATATTGAATCTCTGTTGAGAGACATCTGTCTCGAACACGTAGCTCTCTAATCACGTTTGAGGTTAAGATTGGCTTCAAGAAAGCTTGTTAGTGGGAGGTAATGAATCAATCAACGTAGTTGATTCAGAATCTATATCTCAGTCTAATTAGGAGAAACATTCAGACCCTCGAGGGACTCTACCATTTGAATCTTTGTCAATACCTTTATTGAGAGGATTGTCTTGTTAACTAACTTAATACCATCAGCATCTATAAACCCAGCCAGCCAACACCTGCCCATCCCTGGTTGACATTTGATCCATTTGTGAGACCAATCTTCGGGATAAGGACTTTTTGCAGTTTGTCCTATAAAGTGTGACCAATAAACTCTTGTAATGGCTCCTTAATGTATAGTCGGTATCCAGCCAATGCGACAACTTTGACGCCATAGTATTGATTTCTGACTCATGATTTCACTCGAGACACTAGGGGATCATTTATTTGTGACATTTCGTAAGGACGACCCCCGTACGGGGGGAGCTTACGCGCCGTCCAATTTGGTTTCTTATCACGTGGGCCATGAGCTAAGCCCTCAGAGCTTATTTTGACCCGCAAACCTATAAGGGCATTATACCCCGAAACCACCGCACGTGAATAGTAGCGGGATTCTAAATCGAGTAGACTTTAGAGAGTTAATGCCGCTGGTAATAGAGGTGTAGCAATCAAAATTAGATAGGAATAGCTTTATCCAGTTAAAAAGTAGGTCGGCTCTCATTATGTACCATTTCGAAGCTTCACACGGGGATATTTACGAGATAGGCAAATCTCAGCTAGAATAAAGTGACCAACTTTTGGTGATTCTAGTTAATTCCTTTTCATCATGAGCGTGTGCTGGAAGAGGTTTAGAGAACTCAAATCAGATCTAGATAGAGATTCTAGACAGAATCTGGTTAGTGCTCCGATCTAATATCGCTGGCACTCATTTAAAGGCTAAAATAGAGAGCACACAAGAACATGGGGGGGAACTCAATTGTCTTTAGTCTATATTTATAAATGAGATTAGATTAAAAAAAGATATCTGGCCTAATTCAGTGTGCATAGTAGAGAAGTTGTATACTATTCCTAACGAATTGCCAAGGTATTTCAACTTTTGATGGATAAATTAATCGATCCTAGATCGATCAGATTAAAGTTGCCAGGTGTCCAGTCAGTAATCATGATAAAGGCGAAAATCAACTAACCAGTGATGAAATAACAGCTGTCAACCTGATACGTGCCACGTTGACCATGTAACCGTTTATGGCCTTCCCATAATAAAACACCTCTTTAACGGCAAATAAAAAGAAAGCGATTCGAACTGGCTGACCAGAGTGTCACGACTCCTCACAGTAGGGACTATCCTAAAAGCTCAAATCTTGTTATAGGATAGGGTTGCCGCGGATGCGGGAACCCGCCCCTCAGGGCCGGGTTTAGTAAGCGGTCTTAAATTAGGATATAATGGTTATACTGGCGCCAATTGGATCAGATGAGCCACATGAGTAATAACCTTGGCCACATTATACCAATTTTCTAGGGAATTATGGGACAGGAACTAATTGAGGAATCAAGATGGGGGTCACTCATTGACATGAGTTAACTCTTTTAATTATCTTACAATAATGAGCTATTAATAAATTGAGTATCCTATCAATTGACCGCGTCAGCGGGCAATCTAGGTTAGCGTCGCGCTTCAGTGGACCCACTCGATTGTAGCCATTTTCATTGATGCTCAGTTAGATATCCTATTTCTATAATTATTAAGGGTCTTAATTGACCTATACCTAAGATGATTCAACCTAGAACAATCTCCTTCTAAGACAAATATAATGCTCTTACCACAGCTCAATTAATTAATGAATTGTCTTATTACTCCCAATAGTTGACAGAGAGAGATCTTTTAGAATCATACCTCGTATTTTAATTCACAGATAATTTAGCTTTTACCTTATTTTTAATCGATCATTATCAGGGTAGTAAATGGAAGTTGATACATCAAGGTAATCTGTTATGAAGATCCGATGGTAACCCATCCACTAAATCGTAGAATGTCAAAACCTCGAATCAGCGGCGGATGGAGTTCTAAAATAACGCTACGCCTAGATTGCTAATGAGCTAGACTTAGCTAACCATCATCAACCACCTACTAGGTGCTATTGGACTTGAAGGCCATAATTATAGGCTCTTTAGAGCTAATGCTGATAATCGATCTATGATCGATGCTAAAGTGTACCCAAACTATGACGTACGTTTGCTGTTGTTCATTTATATTAAGCCGCTCAATGAGCGGCTGCTGTTACTATAGCTCACCCTGCTTAGGTTTGATGAGCATTGGGCCGTGTGCTGTTATGCAACCTATTAGACCCACCCGGTAGATGCAAAATCAGGTTCAAGCTTTCTTCTTAGATTTGGAAAGACACGAATAAGTAAATGAACTATTGGTATTCTCTTCGATAGCACTATTATCTAAAACGTGTAAGCATCCATACTTATGAAGTTCTTATTGACGCAGCTAGTTTAATTCCAGGATTTATCTATCAACCTTTAGCTTTGTTTATTGCTACTTACCTATTTGGGCTTGACGTACGTAATTTGTTTGAATTACTCAATTTATTTAGTTGTGAGTTAGGTGGTAGGGTCTAT